CCCCCCCCCCCCCCCCCCCCCCCCAGTATTGCCTTCTCTGCTGCAGTGGTGGTGGGGACAAATTTGAGATGCTTAATAATTAGGTTCTGTACATGGAAAATTATAACAAATCTATAAATGTTCCATGTATAGAATCTAATTGGAGGGTTTGTCCTAAATCCAGGGTCCTCTTGGATTGGCGCAAATAAGGTATTATATACTGAATATGTAAACTTTTAAGTATTTGAATAGTTAGAGCTAAATGAATACTTTTTTTAGTTGCCTAAAATTCAGTTATTAAGTTATAGCTATCCGGGTGAAATATGGTCCATGGGATTGGCAGGCTGGATGTTGCCTGCCAATTGATTTTTTTTTTTTTTTTTTTTTTATCTGACCCATGGGCTGGTAGTGCAGGTGTTGGCGGCACATGGCAGGCCCTGCATGAGACGTGCTTGGGCCCCTGCCTCTGCTGGTGGGCAGTGTGGGCGGCAGCTCCAGCCTCTATTGGCACCACAGGGGACTCTGGGTAGAAGCAGCCCTGCCTGCCCTGCACTGTGCATCAGCCTGGGAGATGGAGTCTGGCCAGCCTGGGGCCATCAGGGCTGGACCCCATCTCCCAGGTGCCACAGGGGACTGGCAGCAGAGGCTGGAGCTGCTGCCTGCACCACCTGCCCTCAGAGGCAGGAGCCCAAGCATGGCTTGCCCAGTGCCTGCTGTGTACTGCTGGGTGTGTGGGGCTGCTTCTACCCGGAGTCCCCTGTGATGTCTGGGAAATGGAGTCTGGCCCTGCAGGCCTTGGGGAAGCTGCGCTTGGTCTCCAGCCTGCAGCCCTCAGCAGTTCACTTAAACAACTCAGTAAGTGGCCTTCCAGCCTAAATAATTGCCCACCCCTGCTATTAGACTAAGGTGTGTGTATAGGAGACGAGAAGCCACATGGATATAAACTGCCATACTTTTTACATAATTATAAAGTAGCTTTTTACATGCTATAAAGTAGTGTTGTGGGCAATGATTATATATTCCCTCCCCTCTTTTATTAATATTTTGATTGTAATACTAGTTTTATAGTTTTTGTGTGGGATAAGTATAGAATAAGGATTTCTGTTTCCAGTAAAAATCTCGTATCTTCTCATGTACTTCCATTTTTTGGGAAATCTGAGATCTGTCATCAAACTGACCTTGCATGCTCTATCTTTGTTTCATAAACTGTAAAGATAATGGGTGCATTTTAATGAGGTTGTAATTCTGAATGTAACTTTTTAAAATTGGTAGTAGTAACAATTTTGCTTAGGTTTTAAAAACATTTGTTTCATCTTGCAGTGAAGCCTGGTGTTCGGTACAGAGAACTGGGAAACATCATTCAGAAACATGCCCAAGCCAATGGGTTTTCAGTTGTTCGGAGCTACTGCGGGCATGGCATCCATAAGCTTTTCCATACTGCCCCCAATGTGCCACATTATGCCAGTGAGTATTTGCCCAAGTGTCTGTTATCAGTTACAACAGGCCCAGTCATGAGTGAGTGTGATCTATTTTTGTTTATCTTGTACTGAAATCACACACGTTGCTTGACAGCCCTTCAGGATTTTTGTGCTGGTAGAATAATTTTTTGGTGTTTTGTTTATTTTTGGAGCTTGTCTTTTAAAATGCTTTATGAAAGAGCTGAGCCAATGAGCTTCTAGCTTTGAGAATGAACCCTAATTATGCTGGATGAGTGCTAGATTACTGCATGACAGTTCCCAGTGACTGATATTTACAGGTTGTTTTTTTTCTCTTGGATATTTGGTATTGATAACAATGATTATACTGAATTCCTTAATAGAGAGGTTGAGCTGAACATCCTGGTCAGAAGTAAGTAAGACTTGCTTCAGGCAATATACCACTTGCTACTTGATGAAGAGCTGTGTGAACATTAAGTTTAGGCAACTGCTACAGCTGTATTTGTTCTGGATCCCAGTGTGCTGCTTTTTTTTTCTCATTTAAACTATTGTGAGATCTCAGCAGTCTCCAGACTTTGGAAGATAAGGTAGTGATGCAAGAATACAGTGAAAAGGAAGGATGTTTGGGTGTGGCACAGCTTGGCTTGGGTTTGAAAAAAACAAGTACTAGCCAGTGGCCTTAGGATCATAAAAAAGATAAGAGGAAGAGTCAAAGTAAGACGGAGGAGAAGCTGAAAGATCAGTAAGTAATTGAGGGAGGTGTGCAAAGGTCACAAAACATCTACTTTTCCAGTAATAAGCAGCTCCAGCTCACTCCAGGCTTTAAGCTCCTCAGATGTGACCTTTTCTTATCTGGAGCTGCCAAAAGCCTTCAACTCCCCAACTCTTGGCAAGTTTTCTTAAATACACAGTGGTTGAGGCCTTGGATTTCAGCATAACAAGCACTGGTTATTGCTCTGGTCATTCCTGAGGGTGACCACTTACCTTTAAAAAAAAAAAAAAAAAAAGATGTTTAGGGGTTTTTTTCTCTGTAAAACTGAAAGTACACAGCCTCTGCAATGGAGGGGGTATATTATGCTACGTAAAAGGCAAATCCAGAAAATAAATAATTGCATCCTTCCTGGGTATTGGGGACCATGAGCTGCTTTTTTTGAGTGAGGCAATAAGCAAGCTCCATTTGAAGGAAGGAAATGTTTATTTTCTTTTAATCTTAGCCCAGTGACAGAAACAAAAAGAAAGGGCCCAGGAGATTTTTAAAGAAAAATTTTAAGGAAGAACAAGTGAAGTGAACAGCTATTTTCTGCCTAAACTAACTGGGATTTTTTTAAAGGCAAAAAAGCCTACTTTTCTTTCTAAGTCTGCAGATTTTCTTCTGAATGAGATAAGAGGAAAATTGGGACATGACAGAGACACATACATCCACTACTAGAATTTAGCATTTGGTACATTTAGTTTTAGAGGGTGTTATCTAAATCCCAAGATTTCTCTGAAAATTTCTACTGTTCTTCTTCAGCTGATTAAAATGTAATGCAAAAATAATTGGTAGGAGAATGTTTACTGTGGAAAGTAAGGGGTCACAAAGGAACTGTTTTTCTCTTTCATAAATTGAGGTTGAACTGCAGGATTATCTAAATCCAATACCACATGGCTACTTGCTTGGAGAAGGGAGTATGAGCAATGATGGAAACAAATCAAAAGGCCTTTAAGCCTTATTGGAATACCAATTTTTTAAAGTATTACTCCACACGAGCTGTTACTTGTGCTTTCCACCATTACTTGAAAGGAGTGAGATCTGCGTTCCAGGGCAGACAGCAGGTAATTGCCAGCAAAAATTATATTTGAGCAGGAGAGAAGATGAGAAAGATGGCATGTTATGCTGTTAAGGAAAGCATAATTTTGAATAAAGTGTGTTAGTTGAAGGGGCGTCTTATTCAACATGTTCTGACTTCGCAGTCTGTCCCTCACTGGGATTCATTCTTACCCCAAGATAAGCTTTCCCCTTATAACTTGCATGTTAATTTCTTTTCAGAAAATAAGGCAGTTGGAGTAATGAAGCCTGGTCATGTGTTTACAATTGAACCAATGATCTGTGAAGGTAAGTGCTAAGCATAGAGAGTGACAGGGAGGATCTGGGTTTTAAAAATGTGTCACTTCTTGTTGCAGAACTTCCTCTGTACTAGGGTATCAGGTATATGGACCATGGGCCAGATCTGACTTCTAAGGCTCTTTCCTCCAGTCTGAAGTTCCCTGTGTACAGTTTACTAAGGGAACTTACTAACAGCTTCCTAGTACTGGCAGCTCTGAAGGCAGGACTGGATTAACCCTTTAGTGGGCCCTGGGCAAACCAGCTCATGGGCTCTCTGGGCTGTCAAGACCCCCTTCCCCACCCTGGCACTACCACCTGTGGGGAGCAGGGCTCAGAGCAGTGTTGCCAAGTTTCGTGGGGGGGGGAGGAAAAAAAGCAACACTGCCTTTAAAAACAAGTCCAGAACATTTCAGAGAGGGGAATGGGGGTGGGAGGTGTGTGTGATGGGGTGTGGCTGTGTGTGGGGGGGTAGTAGGGCATGTTGGGGTTGTATATGTGGAGACGCCACCCCCCACACACTCCTCCCCATTGTGCAAAGCCCCCGCCGCCAATGGTGGCTGACCTTGGGGCCTGCGCAGGCACCAGCCCCCCCACAACACATGGCTCTGGCCAGCACTGCACAGTGGTGGCGAAGAGTGCAGCCCTGCTGCCCGCCTCCCTTGCACTGGGCTTTGCGCAGCCCATGCGCAGCTCTGCGCTGCTGGGGGAAGCGGTGTGGGCTGGAGCCGGCTGCCTTTCCCTGGATGCCCCCTGCTTCCTGGGACTTGCATGGCAGGGGGTGGGGAAGGCAGCCAGCTCTGGGCTTTCCCTGGTAGTGTGGAGATGCACGTGTACTACAGGGAGCCCGGCATGAGAGGGGGCAGCTGGCAGGCTATGCTCCTTGCTCGCTCCCACCATATAGCTGTAGCTGGAGCTGCACCCAGGCCTACATGGGCCATGAGTGCCCAAGGCTGGATGCTGCTGCTGGCTGTCGGGGCTGTGCCATGTGGGGGTGTGTGGAGGGGTCCCCACATCCACACCCTGCTCACCTGAGCTCCATGCTCCCGCCAGCCCCCTGGGCATGGGCTCCACACTCCTGCCCAGTGGGAACCTCTCCCACCTGCCCTTTCCCTACCTGGTGCCTGGAGGAAGCTGGAGGCTGGGGAAGGCATGCAGGTCCTTGGGGCGGCAGCAGCAGCCCCACCTGGAAGTGATGTAGTGATAGTCCTTAGCATACTTCTGTATGATTTTTAATTTTTTTTCTAATAAATGTAAGAACAGACGAGACAAAAATAGAACATCCATAAATAGTCTTCAATTTTTGTGGTGACTTTTTTTTTAGGTGGGTGGCAAGATGAAACGTGGCCTGATGGCTGGACCGCGGTAACAAGAGATGGAAAAAGATCTGCCCAGTTTGAGCACACGCTTCTGGTCACAGATACCGGCTGTGACATCTTAACTCGGCGGTTGGATAGCACTCGTCCTCACTTCATGTCCCAGTGTTAGTTTAGACTGAGCTGGAGGATCTTTTTATTTCTGTACTATGCATTTTACTGAGCGTACTGGATAGAGGGGGATTTTATCACTTGTTTTGTTCTCATTGACTGTAGATAAGAGCAGAATACAGCATTCGGTGTATATTTTGAAGAACTTGACCCAGTGTCAATAAGCAGAAAAGAATTTTAATTTTTTTCCGCTTCCCTCCTACCCAAGACACTCATACTGTATTTTGTGTTTTTCTTCAATTGCCTCTTTAGCACCTTTCTTCTAATCAGGCCTGCAATTGCTTCTATCACTCTCATGATACTAGCTGGAAAATGCAGGTTTCTTTCACACTGGGGACTTGATGTTTTGGGTATCCAGGTTTCTCCATTTCTTCAGTGTGCCCTGCCTTCATTAGTGTGTGTGCGGCACCTGGGATTTTAAAGATTTCTATTCCAAAGACCTGCTTAGCTACTTCTGCAAACACTGTTCTCACAGGCTGGGCCTTGTTTTGTTTATGACCTGAGATATACTCAAAAAAATGCAAATTGCCAAGAGTAGTTTACATTTTAGCTCTGTCCCATCTCTGTTGTTGCCTCTGCTGTGATTGTGACTATAGATGATGCCATGTGCTTTTGGTGGGATTTACTTCCTCTTGCTGGAAATTATTAATGCTGGTTCCATGCTGGGAGATCACTAAAATACTACTTTGTATTTGTTTCCCCAAAAGAGTTGCCCCTCTGAGGAGCAGTGGTTAGCAGAGTATGGTACTCTGGAAGTTCACTGTGAAACTGCTGTTTCAGACCCGAGTTGAGAAAGGAATGAAACAAATAACCAAACAAAAACATGATTTGCAGGCTCCAGTGTATTTTAACTGATGCATGTTTCCTAAACAGATCCAGGGTAGCTATGGGATGGGAATTGCAAGGTGCAGGACATTACAGCAAGGCAAATGAAAACGGTCTAAAATTAATGCTTAAATGTTTGAGTAAATAGGAAACATCTTCTATACTGCTGCTGTGTTAGGGTATTTTTTTAATTAAAATTTTTTTAAGTGAATTTCATGTTGTTTGAAAACGTGTGGGTAGGCAGCCTTGGAAACTCAATGCCTGTGCAACTGGGTATAGAGTGGCCAGTTCTATTGCATCCCATTCTTCTAATTTGCTATGATCCTGACCTGTAAGGTACCACTTCAAGGACTGTGGGGTTGAGTTAGCCTCAAGCCCTTGGTCCTCTCAGTCTTTGTTGTCTGTTGAGATTTTTCTTTTCTGAATCAGTAATGAAAATGATTTCACTTATAGTTTTCCTTTATACCACTGTAATGCAAAAAAAAAAAAAATTAAACCAATGAAGACGAATCAAATCATAAAATCATGGGCATAAAATGCACATTTTGCTAGGTGTCTTGTGATTTCTTGTCCCATAGGGCTTGATCTTACAAGCTGCTGAGTGCTTTGAACTCTTATTGGCACTGGTAGAACGTGAGGGCTTGTGCTGTATAGACATTGACCCATCTTGGGCATGACTAAACACCAAACTTACCAGGAAATGTCTTCGATTCCTGGAGTGCCTCGGACCTTTTTTTGCTGTAAGATACCATTGTGATAACATTTTCATTACATTTATAATTTTTAATGATACAGTAAAAATGACCTGAAATGGCACATGGAGCGTGTGTGCGTGTGTGTATGTGTGTATTTTAAATAAATGGACTGCAGTACTTGAGTGGAATTGCCTGTGTTGAATGCTGCATATGTAATATTATGAGGAGATTAAAAGTTAGGATGGCTATCCCAGAGATTTACCCACCATATCAGTCATTTAAAATTGGTAGTTTTCTTCTCGTATGTGTGAGAGAGAGACGGGTATGTTTGAAGCTTTTCTTGGCATATAAAATAAAAGTTGCAGCTGTATCAAATGGAGGCCACATTTTCATGATATAGCATCCCGGTGGGCTAGCCACACTTTGAACTTAACTCAGTTTAAAATTATATGTAAATCAGTGATGTTTAATTCAGTAATTTACTGATTTGTTAACCTATCATAAATCTGGTTTGAAAACTGGGTTCCACCCCCTCCTCCCACCCTACGTTGACCAGTGCAAGCTTTTTAGCATAGGCAGCCCAACACATACTGCTTTAATCATCCAATAGTAAAGCTGCCTGAAGGGCAGAATAATTGATTGTTTTTCTTGGATGTTTTTCAAATCTGATAGCATATTTTGCAGTTTCTACTTGATTTTCAAACATACCTAGTTACAGATTTTGCTTACACATGCATGCTAGATTCTCTGTGTGCAAAGCTTTGGAAATAATCTTCTTCCAATCTTATAAAATTGACCACCTATAATGGTTTTGCTAGAACAATTAGGTTTTTGTG